AATTGCCGCCCGTCCGACCCGTCGGTACAGACCGCGACCCGGCGGGTACACGAAAAAGAAAAATTAAAAAATATTTAAAAATTAAAAAATTCAGAAAAATTTTAAAAAAAAATAAATAAATTCCATTTTTTCCCCTATAAACCCCCCCTTCCACATTTCTTACACCAAAATCTCATTCTCTCTTCTCTCTATTCTCTTACTCTATATTCTTCTCGCTCGGTTTTTAGTGATCGGTTTTTAGTTTTGTGTTCGGTTTCCAAAAAAAAAATCCGAAAAAAAATCCAAAAATTAAAAAAGCAGAAAATAAAAAAAATACCACATCTCCCCATTTATTTTTATTTCATCATCTTCTATATAATTTTCCCCAATTTATTTTTTATTCTTTAAATTATAAAATGTCAAGCTCTCGTGGTGGTCGTGGTTCGAATTCCGAACAGAAACGTAGAAATATCGGCACCGTCACGTCTTCGTCGAGACCTCCATTGCCGGAATTTGCGAGTCCATCGATACATGTGGATATTCCCGGTGTCGCCGATGACATTGATGAGGCAACGATCGAGCGCATGTTTGGCTCAATTCAGCCTGAGCAACAAGAGCAGCAGCAGCCGTATCACGACCATTTCGATGATATATTTGGAGCGTCACCGCCGGAGGTTCAGCAACCGACGCAGCAACAGCAGCCGGACGGCTCAGACCCGGACCCGGCCTCTGTCTTCGCCCGTGGCAGACCGGCATCTGCCATGTTCAAACAACATTACACGAAGGAGGCCAATCCAGAAAGAGGTGAGAATCATTTTTATGCTGTTTGCAACTACTGCTCGATCAACAAGAAGAAGATGTACCGTTTCAAAAAAGGCGACGGGTACGGATCGTTGAAACGACACTTAGAGAGGAATCATCCGACAAAATTGGGAATTGACAAGGCACAGACGCAATTCTCGAGTAGAAGCGCTGCATCTACCACGACTGGTACAGGTACGCCATCTTTATTACAGTACTCACATGAAAATCATCGACGTCATTTAGCTGAATTTGTTTCTGCTTCATCTCTTCTGTTTAGCTTTGGTGATAGTGATTTATATGAATATTTTGCTCAAATGGCTTTGAATCCAGCTGCCCACCGGGTTCCACGTACTACTCTTACTCGCGATATTCAAAAAATAGTGGCAGAAAAAAAAAAGTAAATTTGCAAGAAACTTTTAAATCTTTAAATCATAGAGTATCCATGTGTACTGATATCTGGTCTGATCATTGGCAAAATAACTTCTATTTGGGAATTACTTGTCATTGGATAGATGAAAATTGGAGTTTACAAAAACGTTTAATTTCTTATGTTGCATTTCATGAACGACACACTGTTTCTAATATTGCTCGTTTAATTTCAAAAATTTTGGATAAATATCAAATAGGTAAAAAAGTGTTTTCCATTTCGTTTGATAATGCTAGTGCAAATACTGCATCTATACGTGAACTTACCGATATTTGCACTCCAACTTGCGGCGTAAGATTCTTTCATATTCGTTGTATATGTCATGTCTTAAATCTCTGTGTACAAGCTGGTTATCATGCTTTTAAAGATTCGGTCACGCCAATTAGGGACGCTGTTAATTATTTACATAAACGTCCCCATGAAATGAAAGCATGGGGACGATTTTGTAGAAATCAAGGGGTGAAACCTAAAAAATTTCAACCCAACGTTCCTAACCGGTGGAACTCAACATTTAAAATTTTGAGTGACATGGTTCTGTTTATGACACAATTGCAGAATTTTTTTAACCATGCAAACCGTAAGGATTGTGATGTCCGAGTGTCAACAAGAGATTGGGAGAACTGTAATGCACTTATTCAATTTTTAGAAACATTTCAAAATGCTACTAACATGCTTTCAGGTGTTTATTATCCTATTGCTCAGCTTATGTTAAGTCAAGCTATAGCCATAATGTGGGCTTTCAAGGATCTTTACGACTTGAATTTTCATAAATATAGCTATTTAGTTGAAGAAATGTTAAAGAAATGGTTAAAATATTATTATTTCATTCCTGATACACATTTAGTTGCATGTTTGTTAGATCTTTCGGTACGTGAAGCTCACTTGTTAGAGCAGCTTAACATGTACTATAATTATATGTATGAACTTTCAATCTCGACTGATGTCCCGACATACAGTAAAAAACCTAACGTACAGTTGCTCGTCGAGTAAGCAAAATTTTTTTTTGTATGACATGTTTAGGGAAACAGCGACCGCACAAGGAGAACCTCCCAGCACATTTGTGCGTGGCGGCGGGGGCAGCGGCAGTGGGTCTTCTTCTTACGGCGGTAGTCAAGTAGGCGCTTCGAACTATAAGGAGTGGTGGGCATCATTAAATCCCTACAAGAATGTTGGCGTTGAAAGGGCAAAGGGAACTAGATACTATGAGTTTGATCACTACCTAACGTCGAATTTGATACTTACGATTGCTCATGAACCAAGTCCGCCACTCAATTTCGATGTCTTGGACTGTTGGTCGAGAATGAAAGGCATATATCCTATTCCTTGCTTGATGGCCAAAGAGATTTAAGTCGTCCCAGCATCTACAGTTGCGGTCGAACAAGCCTTCAGCGAGGGAGGTTATATGCTCGACGCACGACGATCGAGGCTGACGCCCGAAAATCTACAATCACAAATGCTGCTGATGGATTGGAACAAAGCCGAACGAAGGATGCAAACGGCTATGTACGTAGATGAAGAAGCGGACGACGACGACGACGATGCATCCGATTTTACGAGTACGACGAGTGGTGGAACCGGAACAGCAGATGACGAGTATGACTATTAGAGACAACCACTCGTGTACAAGTAAGTAAATCGTAAGAACTACGTGGACTTTGATTCTCAATATAAGGGATACGTAGACAACTTAATTGACATTTATAAGTTAAAATATCAATTGTTTTCCAAAACAAAAAAAAAAAAGTTCAAGTTATATGATATTTTAACTTAATAAATATCAATTAAGCTCAAGTCCAATATTTTTTTTTATATCAACTTTAAAATATCTTAACGTAACAAGAATTAATTTTCCTGTTGAAAACATTGTTCAGAAATTCAGGCAATAATATCAATTATTCCAATTATGCCTCGACCACAGTCTCCATTGCTGTATTGTAGCCGTATGAGAGAGTGCGACGCTGGTTCTACAAGGGAGACTGTGGCCGTGACATTATTGGCGTAATTGATGTTATTGCTTTGATCATTATTTGGTCAACTTTTGGAATTTCTTGAGCTGTAAGTAAATTAAAAAAAAAGTATAAAATATCAATTAAAATAAGTTAAATTACATCACTAGAAGGATGTTCTATAAAGGAGATAATCGCAGTATCTTAACGTAACAAGAATTAATTTGCCTCTACAAAACATTGTTCAGAAATTCAGGCAATAATATCAATTATTCCAATTATGCCACGCCCACAATCTCCATTGATGTATTGTAGACGTATTAGAGAGTGCGACGCAGGTTCCACAAGGGAGATTGTGTGCGTGGCATTATTGGCGTAATTGATGTTATTGCTTTGAAGTTTGATCATTATTTGGTCAACTTCTGGAATTTCTTGAGCTGTAAGTAATTAAAAAAAAAAGTACTTGGACTTTTTTACACACCACTAATACATAGGCACCTTAATCCTTAAGTTAAAATATCAATTAAAATAACTTAATTTACATCACTAGAAGGATGTTCTATAACGGAGACAATCGCAGTTAGCGCCGTTGACGGGGTTCTTAGATGATCAACAATCTTCCAACACTACAAGAAAGCTGCAGTCTTTTTCACACACCACTAAAAGTATTGGATTATTGTATCAAATTAAAGTGAAGTGTTGATGACTTGAATGTGAGCTTACCGGTATATTCTTCTGCATTCACATAACTTTAAAATTGAGTAAGAATTTCGAGGATGACTAGGTTCGTGTCATATTTCTCTACTTTATGCTATAACAAGTTTATTATAGAGTTGAAAACACAATTTAGAGAAATTTGACACAAATTTAGTCATTGTCGAAATTCTTACTCA